CGGCATACATACGCAGCACGTGGCCAAGCCAGCGCACCGTTAGAATTCTCATCCCGCTACATTAGGCGATTTAACGGGACTTGCAATAATGAAGCACTGATGTTCACCACAGGTGTTTGCAACCAGGGGTACGGCTAAAAGATATCGGATCCGAATTGCTCATTGGCCTTTGGCTGCCTAACCATAACCGCTTCGACACTGCTTGTAAGACATTCGGCATCACCAATGTTACACTCCAAATGCAGTTTGATGAAAGATAGGACGTCAAACAAACCGCGGCGCAAAATGGGCGGTAATAACGACTAGGGTTACTTGCAAGCGAGTCTTCAAGAAACCTGCTAGAAGCGTTCAAATTTATGTCCTATTGAACAGGCTGGACATAACGCCGTCTTCTTAGAATTCACGGATTCGAAGAGATTTGCTGGCTTTGAAGATGTCGCACTCATTCGAAGAGAGTTCTCTGGGCGCAAGTGAAAAATAATCAGCTAGATGCGTTCGACGACGAAGAATATCCGCAAAGTTTATTCAGATCCTCTCGGACCGCGTTGGTCAGCAGTTCACTTGTCAGAAATGATACTACACGCACGGCAAACTATCTTAATGAGGCAATTTCAGCGCGAGGCTATTGACGCTGTAGTATACATTACCTGCCATTTTCGTTGAGTTTCGAGTATTGATGTACAACTTTGCTTGCTTAGCTTCGGACAGGACTTTCTTTCCGTTCTTCATCCAGATAAATCATCGTGAACACTACCTTCGGAGAATCGATGGCCCCTGCTTGTTCCATAGCGTTCATACTGCACCGGATTGGTACTGATCCAAGAACGGTGCAGATTCGGAACTTCGTAAACCATAACTAGATCGACATGAAGGAACGTTAAGGCCAGGCTGGAAAAACTAATGTGCATAATCCGTTGCAGTTGACGTAGCGCCATCCCGGTAACATCCACTTATATTTTCGTTTGCCGCAGAGGTAAAATGTACATAAAACGCGATCACATTAGGGACTACAAATCGCAATCCAGCACATTAGCTCTAAGAATAAAACAGGTTTAAACTGCCACTTAAGGCCTGGAGTACAGTCTCTTACATGTTCCTTCAATCTCGTGCATATTTTGAAGCCTGTTCGAGAAGTGGAAAGCCCCGGCAGCAGTACAGAGATCACTTAAACACAAAGATGGAATGGAACAGTGACATATTGCACGAAATGATCTGTGGTTTTTAATCCTACTCACAGTTACCTAAATAAAGCCACAGTAGGTGCAGTCGCAAAACCAACGCAGTCACTGAAATCGGCATGCTTCGCTGAAATGCAACACCCACCTTGAATCGCCTGTCCTGAAGCACTTTCTTTACGGCCACAATTTCATCTGTATCACATAATCGAGCTTGATAGACAACTCCGAAAGACCCATTCCCAATGACCTTTGTGTCGGTGTACGATATTTCTTTGGATTTATCTCCCTGTCCAAGATACGCGGTGACTGTGACGACTTTATTAGCATCTTTCTCTAAAAAACATTTATTACATCGAAATAACTAAATGGTAAACGAACGACTCATTTTAATTCATCTTGACTGCTTTTTGTTGACGCAATGGCGACGCAGCGCACAGATTCGCCTACCCGCGCTACGTAGTTCATGAGGTTCAATATCCTTACACAAGAGCAAGTGGCCAAAGGCTCGTCGAATGGGTTGAGTAGGTTGTTGATTCAAGTCAGAGATTTGCGTTACTTATGGAAAGATAAAGGGAGGTGAATATTTGCCATTTGTTTGAAACGGGCTACGCCACAGTCCGCTGCCAAAGTTCCGCTAGGTTCTCGTTGGCTTCTTCCCAGTTTCCTTCTCCAGAAACACTGCCCTTTCATGAACAAACACAGATGCAGGATACTCCTTTTCTGAGCCACTTGGGCTCATGCTGGCACAGTCCACTGGGTCAGGACAGTGTCCATCATCGTTTCACCCAAATTTTGTTGTCTGAATATTCATGTTGACTATTCGCTTGTAGTATGATTGTGCGCTCCGGCCACTGTATCCATCGAGGAGGGATTAAATAATTCTCTGGCGTCGCACAAGATAGTAGCTGTTATGAGTGGTGCAACTTAGATTGTTTTGGCGTCTCTTATGGCCACTTCGTTATTTCCTCGGAACCCATCTCGTGTTTCTGCCCCTTGAGGCGTCACAATACTGTCTATGACCATCTCCAGTTGACAACTGTCCATCTACCTCAGTCCAAACCCAATCCTCGTGAAAGGCACCTTTACTTCCAGACCGGTCATTGCAATGAGAAATCTCTAAACAGCCTTCTGCCCACCGTCCTTGGAATTGTTCAAGAGAAGAAAACCGTCTTCTATGACCTGGCTTGCGCACTGCTAACAGCAATGGTTGGGTTGTCATGCCAGAGAACATCTCAGCAGTGTTGTCAGTCCCTTCAACCATTTTGGAGATGACGTAGCTCTCAGTACAGTCCCTTGAAGAGCGTGGATCCGCCAGCTCTGGTTCGGAAGATGGGCCAAAACGTCCTCGCCACACGAGGCCCCCTATTCCAAGCGGATTGCGATCCACTTGCTCTCCTTACTCAGGTCCACGTATCCCAATCGGAAGGAAACCAAAGCGACCCTTTTTTGGGAAGGGCCAAGAATTATCTCGTTAAAAGTCGTGACGACCCTAACTGCTGAGGGAAATGTGACTGACCAAACTCCATCTATCCTCAGGGCACTTGCGGTGGGCGTTATTTCTGGTAGTGATTAGCGCGGTGTGTGTAAAGGGAGGTTACGAGCTATCACGCTCGTGGAGTGATGATAAACTTTCCGTAGCCGGTACCTCTCAGGTAACGGAAAATCCCCTTGATAATTTGAAAACCAGACTGTACATGAATCGAATTTTGCACGGAGAGAATTACCGGGCGCTCGCGCATACATGGACAAAGGATATTTTGAAAAAGTATTGAATTATCCCAAATTTTCCCTAAATTCAAAGCAGTGGTATCTCTCACACCTTCAGGCATCCAATCCAGAATAGCCAGCAAATAGTTGGGCCACATTCAACTATGCGGCTATGTCTCATGTTGTGCCTCTGAACGATCACCTACTTCAGCACCCTGATTTAACAGCAAAACTTGGCTTTTGGTTAAAGCGAGTCAATGTAGAAGCGACGGGATGTTTTTGCCGCTCAAAGTTGGCCACTGTGATACGGTCGCCTTCAAATTCCTATGGCGAAGAAACTGCGAATTTATTGGGAACCTACTGAATTTCAACATACACCCCACACGCTGGTTGGCACATCTCCGCCTTCTGCGCAACATTCGTCCTACGAAATGGCGCTGAAGAATTTGGCTCAGGCCATTGCATCTCAACCTACGGTGCAAAAGACCATAACCTATATGTTGGCGAATGCTTAAAGCTCCTCACCGGATTCCGTGAGGACCAAGTGTTACATTACCGAAATAGGTGCTTGGCTGTCGAAAGGTTTCCGCAGGGGGAACTAGTCTTCCAATAAATTAAAGGATCTCACGTCTGATGTGTAGAGCACAACGACGGGTCCATTGCTGACGGATAGTGCTCTAAGTGTGGAATATGGACTTTGGTGCACATGTGACGAAATCACCAACGTACATGGGCGTCCTTCCTTGGGCCTCGTTTTCCAGTGGCTAATATCAGGCGAGTGTTTGCTAGCATCAGTGCGCAAAAGTGGATTTGGTTAGGACGACCCGTCAAGCGATAGCGATCGCATTCGCTGAGAGAATTGGTTATCTAGCCTTCGCAAACTTTAACACTTGCAATTCCCCCAGATGCATCAAGCCTAAAAAGGTTAGTGGCGATCTTCATGGAGCATCAAAAGCTGCATATAGTGTGGTATCATTTACTCGCTTCATGATAAATGCTCAAGTTTCTGGCTGTTCACTTGTCTTCTCAAAATCTTGGGTAGCTTCCCGGAGTCCATTGAGAGCTGCGTGTTTCGCAGTGCGAGTGGCAGATCCTGACGTAGCAAGTGCAAAGTGCTACTTCCGGCGTATTGTGTTTTAGACAGACTCCATTATTTTACTTTACTACACGCACAACGCATCTTCCAAATTTTGTACCTTTGCCGCGGATCGACTAACGGTTGTTTGTGATACGTCGTGATCTACATAACACTGGAGTACGATCCGATCGACCTCGTCTTTCGAGGGATAGACAAACTCAGTCTGTTGCTTAGATGGCCAAACGGACCAAAATTTGCACTCCAACTGGAGGGAAATTGGCCTCCGCAGCCCGATGCGGTTGAGTTGAAAAGATTTGTAGCACCGTTCAACCAACTCCGGCGAAATGACGGTAGGTGCCACCAATGATTCGATTGTCCCGTTTGGTGTAGCTGCCGAAGTTTGCAGCTTGGCCACTACGTTACAACCAATATCTATTGATTGGGGCGAACAGAGCGGGGAAACAGGTTCTATTTTCTGGTGTTATCAGAGTACCTAAACCTCACCAAGCGCGTAATTATTTGATAGACTTCATGCAACCCGGTCACTGCACATTTCTACATAGCGTTTCAGCAACCGGATTCGAAATGGCAGCCTAAGAAAGTTTTCACCTGATTTGACAGGCGGTGTATTTTGCATGTAGACAGACTTAGTCGTTCAAACTAAGGTTCATCAGTTAAACATTCAGAGCTTCTTCCGGGCCAATACCCTTACTTGATAGTACACAACTTTCACGAAGTGGAAGGCACTGTGAAGCGTCACAGGTTGTTGCGAGCTCTTGATGCAGGCGCCGGCCTGCGCGGCCAAGCACAAAATTTGTCATCGTTGCAAACGATCACCAAAAGGCTCAGAGCGTCTCAAGAATTGAAGCGACAGGACTTGGTCTTAGACTCTGGTGAAGATATACCCCGTGAAAAAAGGTATCTAGGGTTGATAGTAGTTGTGAGGCGATCAAAATGGCTTACGATAACCGCGCGTGTTCAACCGGCGGGCAGTCTCCTCAAGAAAGATATTAAAAACATTCCCTTGAGAAACAAGTTTAGGTTTATACTCTATCAAAGCCAGAAATTACAGCAGGGGTGGACTCAAAGCATCTGTATCAGTGGTTTGTGGGCTACCCTGGAAACGAGCAAAGCATAAGTAGATTAAAGGGCGGTTCACTGGGTCAACCCGGAAAGGTTTGCGGGCGGTGTGTCGTCCATTGCCTTGCCATTTGAAATTTTCTTATCTTACTTGTTCCTCCCACCTCACGTTTGTGCTTAGTACGAGCAAGTGAAGTGGCGTTTGTTTGTTTACGTTACATCAGTTGTTTGACCTTGAGATCATACGAACATCTGTTGACTGAACTCCTGTATATCTGACTGCCTCACGCCTGAGTCTGTTTTCCCTATTTGGCATGTACTTGTACATTCCAATTGGACCATTTATTATTGGCGAGTATCTACCGTCCAAGTTTGTATATTTAGTTAATTTATGCTTGTTGTTACTAGCACGTGTAGGACCCAGTTTTGCCTTCCCGGAGGTTCTAGTATTAAGCGTCATTTGAAGAACCCGTTTGGCTATTACACACATAGTCCCAAAAGTGCCAGCGCGTGACTGGTTGCTATAACGGAGAAACACCTTTCCAAATTTGTCTACCCGTGTTGGCCAATACTTCCACCAAATGAAACGGACATATTCATCGCCATTTGCATAGTCAGCGCATTCATCTCCCACATCGAAGAATTTCCAACAAGGTTGTGAAAAAATGAAGGGACGTCCCGTCAGATCTGTGTGACCCTGTCGGAAAAGAGATTATCTGTATGTACTCACTTGTCCTTGAGCACCCCTAGTGACCGTTGGCCGATCGGTATTTACGCGCCAACCAACAGCCCACCAGTCTGCTCCCTGCTCCTGGTACCTAACTGTATCCCTTCAGGTGTATTTCACGCCGCTGAATTACTCTTCTTGACAAACCAACCTTTCCCACAGTCCTCCTGTTCAAATGTGCCCCCTCCGTTCCTGGTCCAATCCTCACCAGATCCATCCCCCTAACCGCCGCAAAACTTTCTGTTGTTACAGTCAACCTACTTGCCTTTCTACGTAACCAGAACCAAAGCACTCCTCACACTTGTCACAGCCTACCTCACTGTGCGTCACCCTGCCGCACGCCTCCTTTCCCAGGTTAGACAAACCACATGGAATGGTCAAAGACGCAGCTGTGATATGCGGTTTAGAGACCGCGCATGTGCATTTGGGGATCCCTCAGAACTGCATGATTTTAGAATTCCGCTATTTCCCGTTTGGAATCACCCCACTGAATCTTGGCTTGCTTATACTCCCCGGATTTTTGAGATTACACATCAAGTTTACGCCGTGCATGTTTCGTACAGTTCCAGATTCCCAACTTGGAACCCCGGCACTTCTCCCCGTCCCACCTAGTTGTCGGTGAGCTGCTAGTTGCAGTGAAATAAGATGGGCCTATTTAACTGCTCACGGGACTTGCTAAGACCTCAGCGGGGGAATTATAATGTTTCCGGACTTCTGTCACGGTGAATCCCTTTGGTTCCAA